GTAGCAAGACGATGGCCAGAGATGCATCAGAACAGCCCTTCCCTCACAGCTTACAACCCAACAAATTCCATAATACAGCGAAGACTGATTCATCTTAAATTCTCATTTTAAAACTATCTGCTATCAAATTCTGTACTCATATTTTGTTCTGCCGAGAGTCTTCATGATTTCCCAGCAGCATACTATATTAAGAGCGAAAAAAAAAATCTAAACTCTAGTCTCTGGTGACAAATAAGCTCTCTTATTTGTGTGCTTATAAAAGAAGAGAAAGTTGGGCTGGTGAGATGGCTCAGTGGTCTAAAGCACCTACTTAGAACAAGCTTAGCAAAGCACAGGGACCGCGGTTCAATCCCCCAGCACCACATGCCAGCCAGCCAGCCCCGTCCCCTGGTGGGCTGAGCTGGCCACACACACACACACACACACACACACACACACGTAAATAAATAAAATAAAAAAAAAAAAAAAGAGAAAGTTAACTCTTTCTCCTCCACATAGTAGTCTATTAAATATTGTTTCCTGTGAGCAAGCCAAACAGCGCTCGTCTTGGACCACACCCACCAAGAGAAAATGTGCACAGGATTATAAAATAATAATCTTTCAAACTTTAGTCCATGGTACAGCTTCAAGAACTTTTTTATGACACCACCTCAAGGCACTAATGTCACAAGAATTGAAAGCAAGACAGCTAGGTGAACAAGGACAGCAGAGCAAATTAGGAAACCTAAGAACAAACGTTATACTTGGAAATTGCAGGGATTAAACTACTAACATACACTAATGATAATCTGCTCTACCATGCTAGTTCTTATAAAAAAGAAAGGAATGCTAGGAATATGGTGGCATGTATCTATAATCCCATCACTCAGGAGGCTGAGGCAGGAAGATTGCTATAAACCGGAAGTATAGAGATCATGTTTCATAAACAAAGTAACTAACTCATTTTAGTTGCTACTATGAAGATATTTTGGTTTCACAAAGCCCTTAAACTTGTATTAAAATGGGGCCAGTGAGATAGCTCAGCAGTCTAAAGCGCATGCTTAGGCAAATGCAGGGACTGAGGTTCAATCCCCAGCACTGCATGCTGTGCCAGCCCCACCCCAGGGTAGACTGAGCCAGCCACAAAAATAATAATAATAATAATAATAATAATAATAATTTTTAAAAAACCTTGTCAATAGTACATTTCCAGAACCTAGATATGGAAATCAACAATGTAAAATTAAATATGTAAGTCTACACAGAAGTATATACTTATTCAATTCAGTTATAAAGGAGTTTTTTTCTTTTCCTTTTTTTTTTTTTTTTGCAGGGGGGGATCTTTTTGAGACAAGGTCTCACTATGCAGTTTAAGATGGCCTTGAACTCACTTTAGAGTCCAGGCTGAACTCACACTCACAGCCATCTTCCTGCCTCAGCCTCCAAGTGCTGGGATTACAGACGTGTACTACCACAACCAGCCAGCATCCTCTTTGATTTCCTGTTCTTTCTAATCCTCTATGCATATCCTCAACAGCTTCTCAACTATCTCTTTGGGCTGACTGGCCCCTTTCTGCATCTGGCCCTCTACAAGGCAGCTAGAATCATCACTGGCACTTTGCTTAAAACTCCAGTTTGTGGAATTCCTCAACAGGCTGCAAAGGACCCAAATGCCTGATCCCTGCCTACTTTTCTAGCCGCATTCTCTTCCATCTACTATCCATCTAGCCTTGTGTGTTAAAGACTGCGAATTGCAACCCAAAATTTGCTCTTCTCTTCCACAGTAGTTAAATCTTGATCTTTGTGCTTTCTTTTTTTTTTTTTTTTTTTAGCTGAATATATGGCCATAGAATAAAGATCTTTTATTCTACTTACATAGCTAAATATGGCAATTAAATTTGGGCCAATGGGATGTATGTGGTGCCCTTAATGAGAGGCATGACTCTTCCTCTTTTCACTTTCCCACTTATTGTAATGTAAAAAATGACAGCAGGAGGAGGCAGCTGGCTCACTAACTGGAAGGTGTCTATGCAGGCAGAGCACAGGAGATGGATGAAGCCCAGTCGCTGATAACTGAAACTGCCACACTGTCCCTGAACTGCCTCCTGGACTTTTACAGGTTTGGGGGTTTTTTTTGTATTGTTTTTGCTTAAAACACTGATACAAGGGGTTTTCTGCTCTCTGGAACAGTCTTGTCTAACCTAATACACCATTACAGACTTCCAAATTCTCCATTCTCTGGACTTCTGTGAATACAATTACCTCTGCCTGAAAATACTACTCCTGCTCCTTTCACTTTTCAAAACCGAGGTCAAACGTTACCTTTTTTAGGCAAGTTTTGCCTGACTTCCTAGCTGAGATTCAAAGACTTGTCAAACATAATCTTCACTGCATTTTTAATTACATAATTGTCTCTTCCATCATACCATACACCAGCAGCAAGTATTTACTTTGTCCACCATCATCCAAATGATTAGCACTCAGTAAATGATTAGCACCCAATAAATATTTGCTCAACTGAATGACACAGCTCTTGAGTGATTTTGTGGACTGTGCCCCAAGAGTTTCTTGGCCTTATATTATGGACTCTATAAAGCCCATCTATATAGCTTGATTCCTGTCAGACACTCTTTTTTTTTTTCCAGACACCCTTACAATGTAAATAGTTTCTCTCCATTTGCCTTTCAGGCAAATCTAAAAGTGCAGTTCCTTGCGCAGATGTGCATTATTCCTTCAACCACCATTCCATATTCTAAATTAATATACATAGGTAATGAATGTACATGCTAAATGAAAGTAGATTCCTGACATTTTTAAAATAGAAATGTTTCATTTACAAGACCAATATTTTAAGAGTTGGAATAACTTAAAGGATATTTAAAGGAAAATACTAAATGATACAAAATACATTTGCTAAATATTCTCATCATGCACACAAAAACATTCAAAAAAGATTTCAAAAGATTTTAGCTTTAGGGCTGGAGAGATGGCTCAGTGGTCTAAAGCACCTACTTAGAACAAGCTTAGCAAAGCACAGGGACCGCGGTTCAATCCCCCAGCACCACATGCCAGCCAGCCCTGCCCCCTGGTGGACTGAGCTGGTCTCTCTCTCTCTCTCTCTCTCTCTCTCTCTCTCTCTCTCTCTCTCAAATAAATAAATAAATAAAATTTAAAAAAAAAAGATTTTAGCTTTAAACAGAAGATTTTAATCATATGACAAGGTCTGTTGATTTATTGCTTTTTTTTTTGCTGTTATTGTTTGTTTTTGTTTTTTAAGATAGGGTCTTGTTATGTACTTCAGGCTAGCCTGGATCTGACTATGTAGTCCAGGCTGGCCTGAAACTTGTGGCAATCTGCCTGCTTCAGCTTCCAGAATGCTTGAGTTACAGGTGGGCAGTAACATGCATGGGTTTGGTTTACTGCTTTTTGTACTCATCCTTCACTGACTGGAGAGTCTATGAAGCTTATTCATTTTCACAAATTAAACACCCTTTTGGTCATAACATCGTGGAGCTGAAACAGAATTTGGAAAGGGGTAGTGGAACATTTTTAAAAATCAAGAGAACTGGGTGTCAGTTCCCGATTTGCCATTGAAATGATTGAGTGCCCTGGATCAGTCTTTTCCTAACTTTAAAATGAAGAAAATAAAATAAATAAATAAAATGAAGAAAAGAGTTCAATACAGATACGAGGAAAACCTGTGTTAAGTATAGTATTCACAGGAAACCAGGTATTTACCTACCAATCTTAGGCCTTATAAAGTTTTTTTAAAAATTGGATAGCTAGGGCCAGGGAGATGGCTCAGTAGAATAAGCGCTTCCCTGGCAAGTGCAAGGGCCTGAGTTCAATCCCTGGTAAAACTGGAAAGCTAGTTTTCTCCGAGATGAGACTAGACTGGTAGAATATAAGACTCCTCTCCTACATATCCTGATGCTCACACTGGATTCGGACGGTGCACTGCATTAATCTGTCTAGGCCAGTAAAACTGAGTGGCTTTCACCGCCACTCTCTTGATCCTTGAATGTCACTTCTATTAAACACTTTTAGAGTCTGATAAGAAAGCTCTGGAGAGTGACTGATCCAGCTTCAATTCCATGAACGTCTGAGCTATTTATTATACAGAAAGTCATTCCAGCTTCTTCAGCTCTTCAGACCAAGGGCAGCCTAAACTGGACTTTTCACACCTATAATAAAGGCTAGAGATAGGAAGCGCCCGGAGTGAACAGGTTAGGCACTTCCCTAAAGAGTCCCGGCAGCCTCACGCTTTTATTTTAAGAAGCCGCGGGCCCTACAAGTTCCTTAACCTGTTTTTTCCAAAACTGCCCACCTCTTAACGCCCTTGGGGGCGACCCCCCGGCCCGGCCCCCGCCCCCGCTGTCGCCAGTCGGCCCTGACCTCCTCGAACTGCTCGCCGGAACAGCCAGCTCCGCGAGCCTCCAGCAGCTCCCGGAACTGCTCCAGAGTGACGGACTCTTCGCCGCGGCCCAGCCGCTCTTCCAGCCAGCGGAGCAAGGCGCCGTGGTGCCTCGACACCAGCGACTCGCAAGGCGGTGCGGGCCGCAACGCAGCCGCTGCCTCTCGCAGCCTGGCGGGTTCCAGCAGTGCGGCGGCGGGCGGCAGCGCGGGGGCCGCAGGGCCCGAGCCGAGGGTCTTGCCCGAGTCCGGGGCCCAGTCCTGGTGTGGACTCCAGCCCTCGCCCCCAGCGGCTGCCGCTTCGTCTTCACTGCTGTTACTCGGAGCGTTCCCCATGGGTCCTCCGCCTTGGGTGCAGGGCTCTGCCGCCGCCGCCGCCGCCGCCTGCCAGCCTCGACCTGTCAACCTCCGACAGCACACAGCGGGCGGGGACAGGGAGGAGAAGACGGCGGCAGGAGCAGCTTCCGGTTTCCTGGTCGTCAAGTGAGGAATGCTGTCGCAATGGTACCGTCGAGCGTACTCTACCCGCTTACGACACCTAGAGGAGAGCAAACGCTGCACAGGGCAGAATCCTGATTTCCGAGAGAACGCCTGTCATAACGTTTACGTCATCTTGCACCCTGCTCTGCCGCCATTTTTGTTGAGGGCGAATAAACTGTAAGAGACTGTTTCATTGTTACTCCGCTTTCTCAGCAGTTCATGTTGGCAAACTATCCTGCAACTATATGCAAAAGAGTTAGAGCCTGGGGAGTGAGCTTTTCTCCAAACATTTTGAGGCGCATTGATGACGCCACGGTCGGCGCTTCCGCCATTTTAGCTATGGGCAGAAACGCGGCAACTTTAGAAGAGTATCGTGGGTGCGATTGTCGAAATGCAGAAGAGACCCTGCTGGCGTGGACTTTGGCTGAGCCTGGCCGTAGCGGCTGCCGCTGTGATAACAGCACGGCTGATGGGCTGGTGTGGTTCTTCCGCGGGCTTTCGCCTTTTCATACCCGAAGAGCTGTCCCGCTACCGCGGCGGCCCAGGCGACCCGGGCCTCTACTTGGCGTTGCTCGGCCGTGTCTACGACGTATCCTCAGGCCGGAGACACTACGAGCCTGGGGCCCACTATAGCAGCTTCGCAGGTATTAGCGAGCGCCTTCAGGTCTTTTCCTCCTGCGCGGGTCTGTGACCACCTGCGCGTCGTTCGTTCTTTCATTTATTCATGTTTCCTCAACCAAGACTTTTGCCCTCCTGCCCTGGCGGACCCGACTCGAAAGCACCATCCTCGCGGTCCCTGGCGGGGCGGGACCGTGGCCAGCTGTTTTCCGCTTGTACCCTACCTGTCCACCGCTGTGCATGGACCAGTGCTTGAGAAACATGCCTTGTGTCTAGTTCCCGTTACCTAGATTCGGCAGCCCAGGGAAGCTTTGGGCCGGACTTCCTGGAGGACCTTCAGGGCGCAGAAATGAGACCTTCTCCCTACTTCACGGTTCCCCAAATTTCAGCCACTGCTATGCGTCGCGGCCCAAAATACCCTTCCTGTCATCCCAGGTTTTCCCTAAAAAAAAACTGTTTGGTTTGTATTGCTCTGACTTCCAGTACTAATGCAGTCGAGTGCCTTATAAAAAGACTATTAAGGTTGGAGCATGAGAAAAGAGTCCAGTCAACTTTTTGAAAAAAGAACATTAACTGGACCCACACAGTTCACAGGGGATTAGGTTCTTAGAGTACCTGAAAATTATGTAAAACCTCCAATGGCAGATATGGTCAGGGTCTGGCTACCTAGTTCAGACTCATAGTGTTCTTCCTGTCACAGCTTCCCCAGCGCAGGTAGAGGAGATCAAACTGGGGTCCTTACACTTGCCAGGCAGGTGTTAGACCGCCGCTGAGCTATCTCCCCATCCCAAGGTCCAGTCATCTATACAGTCCTTTAGTAAGAAGCATGGTGCCTGTCGGCCAGCTACTCAGACCGCTGAGGTAGGAGGATGACTTGACACCAGGATTTCCCAGCTCGCCTGGGTAGCACAGGGAGACCCTATCTCAAAAACAAAACAAAATAAGGGCTGGCCAAATAGTTTAGCGGATTAAAGCCCTGCAAACAAGCCCAGGAGTTCCGGTCCCCAGGCCTGCCAGTACCGGCCCCTCCCCCAGGGCACATTGAGACAGCAATTGAAAGTGGGTATGGTGGCGAGTGCCTGTAATCCCAGCTCTTGGGAGACTGTAAACAGGTGGATCACTAGAGTCCGATCTAGTAGTGAGGCCCTGAACACCCTGTAGATCCTTTCCAGAAAAAAAAAAAACAAAAAAAAAACAAGAAAAAAGACTGGAGCATGCATATTAGACCTCAAGCCATTTTAATTTTTTTCTACTGTTCCCATTTTACACATGAGGGGATCAAAAAACATATCTGCCAAAAACTTTCACAGCTAAGCAAGGACAGGACCAGAAATCACCATTCTAGTTCTGGATGCTACCTTACCAGCTGAAAACATTGACCATCTACTAGTGCAAATAAAGTGTTTGGCTGTGCATCTGTGAGTATGTGTGTGTGCAGAAAGCCTAAGACCACTGACTAGGCTGATAATAAGCATTTTCCACTTACTTTCTCTTAGGGGAATTTTTGAAAAGTTGCCTCTTGCACTTAAATACAAGTCACCTCCTTCTCTCCAAGCTAAACTGTCCAGCAGGGCAGGGGACTAAAGCAGAGCTACAGTGAGTTAAAAACACAGCTGGGACTGGAACCAAGGTTGTTTTACACCCATCAGTTGAAGGCATTTTTTGATACACTGTCCTGCTACATGGTGGGGCAACTGCATGGATGTATGCACAAATGTGGGCATGATACCTTCCATTTATAGGATGGTATCAACAATATGCTGTCCCGTCTACTGAGCTCCTATGTGTTAGATATTCATTACACAACTGTTTATTGACCATAACCGAGTGTCCTACATTGTGCCAGATGCTGAGGAGTAAGAAATGTCCCAGATGTGTTCATTTATTCATTTGGTCATTTTATTTTTTAATTTCCTTGTGTGTGTGTTACTAAGGATTGAACGTAGGACCTTGTGAATGCTAAACAAGTGCTGTAACATTGAGATACATTGGACCCACACAGTTCACAGGGGATTAGGTTCTTAGAGTACCTGAAAATTATGTAAAACCTCCAATGGCATGGGGCTGGAGAGATGGCTCAGTGGTCTAAAGCACCTACTTAGAACAAGCTTAGCAAA